AAATTTCTTTTGTTTTCCTGATTCATCTTTCTAGGCGGCTGACCGCATAATTTTGAAAAATGGTAGGCACTTATCTGCTAACTTCGATATGAATTGATGAAGAGCTGCCACCCTTCACGTCAATCTCTGTATATCTTTCACTAACTTCGGCGGTTCCATCTCGGCAATTGCTCTGATCTTTTCTGGGTTGATCTCAATCCCTCTTCTGGACACCATGAAACCCAGAAACTTTCCAAACTCCACGCCAAAGATGCATTTGGTTGGGTTTAACCGCATTCTGTTCTTTCGGAGGTTGTTGAAAGTTTCGCCAAGATCAGCTAGGTGGTCTTCTACTTTCAGGCTCTTTACCACAATGTCATCGACATAAACTTCCAGATTCCTACCAATCTAAGCTCGGAAAACAGTGGTCACCATCTTCTGATAAGTAGCGCATGCGTTTTTTAAGCCAAATGGCATCATTATGTAGCAATAGATTTCGTCACCAGCATAGAAAGACGTTTTCTTTTCATCTTCTGAAGCCATCGGCACTTGGTGATACCCAGAATATGCATCCAAGAGACTTAACCTCTCATTACCTGAAGCCGTTTCAACCAATTTGTTAATGCTTGGCATCGGACAACAATCCTTGGGGTAGGCTTGGTTAAGATTTGTGTAATCAATGCACATCCGCCATTTACCATTTGCCTTCTTCACCAGGACAAGGTTAGCCACCCATTTGCAATAATCAACTTTTCTTACGAAACCAACTTGTAGAAGTTTCTCTACCTCTTCTTTTATAGCCTGAAGCCTCTCCCCCCCGAAGAGATGTCGCTTTTGGGCCACTGGTTTCTTCAATGGATTGGTACTGAGCTTATGTTGAGACACCGAATTTGGGATTCCTGGCATGTCTGCCAAAGTCCACGTGAAGACATCATTGTTAGCTCGGAGAAAAGCTATTAACGCTGCTCTTTCCTTCGGGCTCAATCTAGTTCCAATTTGCATCTTTCAGCTCGGATTTCTATCATCAATGGGCACTTCTTCAACATCTTCGACTGGAGCAGCTCTGGTTTCATCTTTTAGTCGGTTATCTATTATTTCAACACCCATAACTTGCTGATTATCAAGAATCTGTTTGGGATTAGCCTTGGGTGTTTGATCTTTGCCCTTCTGAGGTTGTGTGACCGAGGTGATATAGCAATGTCTGGCCACCTCCTGGTTGCCTCGTAGCATTGCTGTTCCCATAGGAGTTGGGAACTTCATGCATAGGTGAGACTGGGAGACTACAGCTCGGATTTCAGTCAGTGTGGGTCGACCAATAACAACGTTGAAAGAGGACGCCATCTTAACTACTAGAAACCTAACTGAAAGGGTCACATGATTTCGGCCACTTCCAAATGCAACATTCATGGTTAGGACTCCTTCAACCAGAATTGGTTGGTTGTTGAATCCGTAGATTGGACCATCATACCGTTGCAACAAAGCTGGATCCAAGCCAAGACTCTCAAAGCAATGGAAGTACATGATGTCTGGTGCACTCCCTGTGTCAACAAGGACACGCTGCACCTCACAATTGTTAATCATGACAGAAGTGACTAGAGGGTCATTGTGAGGTGTGACGACTGTATTGAGATCAGCAAATGTGAAAGTAATGGGTTGATTCTTTCACTCTGCATTGTCAAACTTTCGTTTCTGAGCTCGGTTCTGATGCTTAACCTCTCTGACATACAACTTTCGCTGTTTAGAGCTTAGTCCACCTGCTTCCAGGCCTCTCGTGATCATGTGTATGATTCTAGCTGGTGGTGGGAGCGGAGGTGAGGTTTGCTAATATCCCACACCTTGCCGGTTTTGTGGGTTACAGACTCTTTGAGGCTGTGGCCCTTGTTCTCTGACAAATCTTGGCTGTTCAACGCTCTGAATGTACTCATTCAATAGTCCCTTCTGGGCAAGACTTTCCAGCTTGGACCTCAAGCTGTTGCATTGCTCTATTGTATGACTGTGATCTTGATGAAAATCACAATATCTAGTATGATCTCGGCTAGCAACAGCAGTTCTCATTAGGTTAGGACGCCGTAAATCCATCTTATTCTTGATCTGCATGAAGATTTGTGACCTCGGCAAATTAAAAGGAGTCCAATTAACTCGAGGCTTACCTTCAGACTGTTGTGGGGGTGTAGAGTTCCGCCTTCCGAATCTCGGTGCGGAAGTCGACATCGGACCTCGGTTCTGTGCTATCCTCATCCGTTTCCTGCTTGGATTCTCATCTCTCCAGTTTAGGTTTTGGTTCTTAGAGGGGGTTGGTTTCTGCGACAAGGCATATTCCTCAGCAGTTATGAATTTCAATGATCTATCATTTACCTCGCTGAAGGTGGTGGCAGGATGTTTGAGCAGACTATCTCTGAATCTCTCATGGCTAAGACCTGAGATCACAGTTGTAATTCCCACAACCTGGTCGAAAGAGCTAACCTCCAGTACTGCATCATTGAATTTGCTCATAAAATTCTTCAAAGATTCTCCATCCCTCTGCCTAACTCGCATCAGCTTAGAAGTGGTTTTCCTGATCAACCTTCTACTGGAAAACTTTGTGGCAAAAGCAGATGCCATTTCTATATAAGAGCTGATTGAGCTCGGAGGTAGACTATAATACCAGGTTTAAGCATTACCTCAGAGAGTAGAGGGAAAGATTTTGCACATCAACGCATTAGAGGCGTTCTGGGCTTGCATGCAAGAGTAGAAAGCATGCAGGTGATCATCGAGATCCTTCATCCCATCATAAGTCTCAAGTTGAGGTATTCTGAAGCCAGCAGGGTAGGGTTCTAATGTGATGTTGGTGTTCAGAGGGTGAGGTATGGAGTTCGCAGCATGACGTGGAGGTGGGGCACCCCTCTACTCAACTACTAGCTTTTCTAGGTTGTCTAGATGTCGAGTGACATCATCAGGGAGGGGTTGCTGAGCTCGTGCGATGTGAGATTGGCCCTGAGATTCACTAAGAGCAGGAACATGCTGAATTGGTTCAGGGTTTTGTTGTGGGGGCGGGGGTTGTGGAGTAGGATTAAGTAGGTTGATGAATGGGTCACTAGGATTGTTCCGAGCTAATAGTTGAGCCAGAACTAGCTGAAAGATGCCAAACTGTTGTTGCATGGCAGCAAACTGAGCTGCAACTACGTCTTGGTTGGCAGTAGAGGCTGAGTTATGAGCCTAATTGTGTGGTTGATTTTCATCTCCTCCTTCTGCATGATCAACATGAGGGAATGTATTTGGGATCAGAGGTGGGAGGTGAGGTGGAAGGTTACTGGGGACCTGGCCTCGTCCAAAAGGCTGAGATGAGTTTCCAGCTCGGACTGATCAAGTGTTAACCATGATGAGAGAGCAACAAGGGAGCTTTTAGTTCGTTTCCCACAGACGGCGCCAATGTAATTGCACCAAACCAGAAGTCCTTCTTCAGTCCGTATCTGCACTCCGGATTGACCTACAAAGCCTCGAGATGGGTCCTCGAGGTAGACACTCCAATGCTTAAGTCAGCAATAATCGAGGCTACCTTTAGAGCGGAGATAAAAGGAGCTTAGGGTTGGTTTCAATTACCTTTTGATGTGGCCGTGGGGGGTATTTATAGGATCCATTGAGGAACCCACGTGGCATGCCAAGCAAGATAATCAGAGCTTGACGTGTCTATCCAGACAATTATTCCGGGACCGGGAATTTAAGAGGCATTCAGATGCAAGGATGTCCGCCATAACTACTGTGCAGCTCATCATAAGGAATTAGGTGCGGGTATGCTTATTGTCGCCGTCATGCAGTTATTTAAGCGGGAAGCTTTGGATTTATCCTTCACTTCGGTCATAAAGGAATTACTGTAGCAGTCCGAGGCTCGGCACCTCGAACCTATCCTTACAAAAATCAATTCCAAAATCAACTATTATAGTAAATTCAATCCCTCATTATCCTTTTAATCATCAAAATTTTAAATTTAAAAAGATAATTTACCTTGGATTTAATCTAATATGGTTAGATCATGGAGCTACGTCTCCTGTGAGAGAAAGAAAGAAGATGCGATTTGCTTCCCAGAAAGAAAGAAAGAAAAAAAAAAAGAAACTGCCGACTGGACTGCCGACCCAATCTGATTTGGGGGTTTTCACAAAAAGAGAATATTGCCACCTAGGTCCTAAGCTTTAATGACAAGGTTTAGTCCCTGAGTTCCTTACCTCATTATAATTTTAACCTCAAATTTAATCTTATCACATATACACCTTCTAAGAGCTCAAATAATTTATTTAAATCTTAAGTAAGAAATCCTT